ATCAATCTCCCTCTTTGGCAGCATACTAACACATCGCTGCACCACATCGCAGAACACACCATCTTGCAGCCATTGAAATGTGTACGAACATGGATATTTTGTAGCTCGAATTCCCAATGCGTCCAACCTCTGTATAGAGAATGGATGAAGCATCTCTCTAGGTACTGCCATCTCATCAACATTCACACTGAGAGTCTGCACTTTGGTCAGCTCGGCATTAACCTCGATGCATGGCTGGATCATATCATTCTCCACCTCTTCAAAAGGATTCGTCCTCGAATCCGAACCTTCTTTTTCGTCAAGTGGTGAGGTGGTTTTGCACTTTTCATCCTCCTCGGGCTGCAACTCAACAATATCGTCTTGCATCCCTTCAATTTTTACACCAATGCTTTCCATGATGTCTAGAACATTTTCCTCCATGGGAATTTCAATGCTATCATTCCTTTGAGGTGGTGACACGTAAATAATCTTTTTCTCCTTTGTAGCATCCTCAATGTTGGACCACAAGTTCACGAATTGCTTGCTTGGACACTCTCCTCTCTTAGTCTTGAATTGCTGCTCGGTTTTTGATTTCTCTCTTTTAGGCTTTTGCAACGATTCTCTCACCATGCTCGCTGGAGAACTCCTTTGCGATTCCCACCTCGGCGAAATCCGTTTTTCTAACTTAGTAACTTGCCTCAAGCTTTGCATCTTCAATTCCCTATAATAATGGGCAGGAACGAACCTCCTTCTCATGATTGCCTTCATGGACTCCCAATCTTCAATTAGTGGTTCGCCACAGCGGCGCCTAGTTAAGACAAATTGATCCCACCAAGTAATTGCATAGTCAATGAACGTTTCGACGGCGAGCTTCACCTTCTTCTTCTCGGAATAATAATGATAATCGAATACGAGCTCAAGCTTTCTTTCCCATTGAATGTACGCATCGGGATCACTCTTTCCTTGAAAAGATGGTATTGTCAACTTCATTGAGCTACGATTTTGATCTATGCCATCTCTTTCTCGACCAAAATATCCTCGGCTCGATGATTCAAATCCGAACCCTCGTCCCATACTCTCCCTCCTTGATTTTGTAGCGTTCACACCAAAGTTTCCATCACAATCTACCTCTTTATCGGGATAAGGTATAACTGGTTGGTGAACATCACGTCGTACGTATGGCCCTCGAACATGTTGATCTTTGCGTAACTCATTTAGTTGGGTAACAATTCCTTCCATCCGATCATGGAGTTCCTGGAAGCGTTTTTCCATTGAGGACATCCTACGCTGCTCAATTCTTTCTCCTTTATAACCGGCCTTCTCGGACATGATCAACACAATATCTTTTTTTTTTTTTTTTTTGACACTAACAAACTAGAAATTAGACTCTAAGAAATTGAAAAACAAAGAACAAAAATTCGTTCTTCTTTTCTTTTCTTTTTTTGTATATTTTTTTTCCCTTTTTTTTTTTGGACTCTAGACAAAACCTAACTTAGAGTCAAAGAAATCAAAACAAATAACCAAAAATTCGATTTATTTTTATTTTTGACTCTAAACAAATGAACGAAGAGTAAGACAAAGAGGACCAGAAGACTCGACAAAAGACAAAACTCGTTACGAGACCCTAATAGAACTCGTTACGAGACCCTAATACCCTACGCGGAAGCAAGATCGAAAACATCCAAAAACAAAGATTCAAAGGGTGGAACCGCGACCCGTTGCCTATAAAGAGGCAAGAACCTTGGTATGTGAAGACGCCACAATCGATTGTGAAAGATCGATTGGTAAGTCGGGGTGAACAAACGGAATCCACCGATATGTTCGAAAATTTCTTAAAGAACCAAAGAGAATATTCTCAATTAAATCATCAAAATTAGTCCTATAAAATAAGCCAAATTGGCAACCTATTTATAAGGTCTAAAAAGACTCCCTTTTCACAAGGAAAATGACTCCTACCTAAACTATAATAAGGTAACTTGTAAATAAGCAAATCCTAACAATAAAAGACTCTAAAATAATAAAAACATAATAAATAGTAAATTAAAAACGTGCATAAATAAATTAGATAACTTGATCTTCAAGTCGACTTTCGATCACCCTTCTTAACTCGCGACATTGGGCTGTGCACGTCTATGCAATTAAAGCTCAATTTCGACACTGTTCCAGTTCGAATATCACTTCGCTCAAAACACGAAAGATGTAGATCTCTCAGTTAGATTTCCGAATCAGTTTGAATCAGCTCAAATGGACTTCAGATGCGAGAGTTATAACTCGAATGGTAAACTCTGCCAGAATAGGCGAGAATCTCGGATGCATGGAATTCGACTTGTCCAACGACATCTTCTCTTTCTTTTCTTCCAATTCCAAACACGGACTCTTCAAAGGCCTGATTAAAGCCTTTATTCTTCAATCCCAACACGAACGGCTCCATTAATCTCACTCGCTTTCCCTTCTTCCAATTCTTTGTCTTGGAGCTTGTGCGGATCGTATCATTCTCCCCCTCTTTAAAAGGATTCGTCCTCGAATCCGGACAAATATCAGAAGGAGTACAAACAAAATCGATTTCATAATCGATCTCTCCCTCTTTAAAAGGATTCGTCCTCGAATCCGGACAAATATCACAAGGAGTATAAACAAAATTGACTTCATGATCAATCTCCCTCTTTGGCAGCATACTAACACATCGCTGCACCACATCGCAGAACACACCATCTTGCAGCCATTGAAATGTGTACGAACATGGATATTTTGTAGCTCGAATTCCCAATGCGTCCAACCTCTGTATAGAGAATGGATGAAGCATCTCTCTAGGTACTGCCATCTCATCAACATTCACACTGAGAGTCTGCACTTTGGTCAGCTCGGCATTAACCTCGATGCATGGCTGGATCATATCACCCCAATTCAACTCCAGTTTCATGCTTTAAATCCTAATTTAGTACCAATGTCGCAAATTAACCAGTTTGGACTGCCACCGCCGGTCTCGGACGTTGACTTAATTTTTTTTTTTTACTCTCTTCAGTAATATTACTGTGTTAATATTAAATATTACTGTCTCAGCCTGCAATATTACTGTTCTCAAAAAAATAATTTTACTATCTCAGTGCACTTTACTGTTTCTTAGACACTAATTGTACTGCTTGGGACATTAATATTACTGTCTCAGTGCAATATTACTGTCTCATACAATATAAACAAGAAAAAATCAACGCCGAAGACCGACGGTCAACTAATAAATATATTCCATATCTTGAAGTGTATACAAATACATTACATGGTGCTATATATATATATAGCACTTGACATGGCCACGAGGCGGGTCGGGTCCGGGTCCGACTTTTAGGGGACCCGAAACCGACCTGCGGGTAGGCGGGTCCGGGTCCACCCGGTTTTTCATTATTTTTTTTTTTTTTTGTTTTGTAAGAAAGAAAAAAAACTTATATTGAAACTTGAAAAAATATGATATTAACTTTAAATTCAAAATTAAAAAAGTAATTGAATTTAAACACTAAACAATTTTAGAAAAGAATGAAACGATTAAGACATTGAGACATAAACTAAATAAAATGAAAGTTGTGAAGATTAAATTATGGGTATTTATAAGTGAAAGTAATAATTGAGAAATTTTTCAAAATTTGAAAATTCTAAAAATATCAAAATTCAATCTTTCTTTTAAATTAAATCCTATTCTTTTATATTTTTCAAAATTAAATATGTATGCATTTGTTATTAGTCGAGATTTTTGATATTAATAATAGTCAACATGACAATTAATAATTTATAAAACATTAGTTATACGATTATTATAATCATCTTACAATGTTATTTATATTTATATATTTATAGTTGGATTATTATAACAAGGAATATATATAACATAAACAAAAGGTGTAAAATGATTATAATAAATAATGTTAAATAAATTATTAATTATCATATTCATTATTATTAAATAATTTTAATTAAATTATTAACAAATATAATATAATAAAAAAAAAAAATTGAAAGGACTTGAGCTTAATTCATTTAAATCTTACGATTCGATTATAATATTTGAATAAAATGTAAATGTAAGAAATATTAATTCATATGACGTACGATTTAATTCTTACGATTTTTACAAATTAAACCAATTATTAAAAGAGAAATCACATCATAATATTTTGATTATACTCGTCATATATAGTTTTATTTTTAAAGTAATTTTTTTTAGAATGAGATATAATCTATTTGTGTTAAAATAAACATCATCTATATTTTTAAATAATTATCTTATGATAAAATAATCAATAATTTTAATAAGTTCTTGTCAACAATTGAGGTTAATCAATTTAAATTAATTGAAATGAGTTATAATCTATTTTTTAATAAACATCTTATTTTATTTTTCATTTGAATTTTTCATACTATCGATTTTAATAACGTAAGTGAGTTTGCATTAAGTGAACGCGTTTGTTTATATATTGAATTGATTCAATACTTTATATTTTTCAATAGTGGAGATTATATTGCTATAGTAATTAATAATAGATGTTTTGAAGTATTGAACCGTAATTCTATATATATTTTTAAAAGTTTCTTATATTGCATTTGTTAATAATTTAATTAAAAATATTTAATAATAATTAATATGAAAATTAATAATTTATTTAACATATTTATCATTTTACACTAGCATTTTATATTATATATATATTTATTGTCTACATTTAATCAAATAAGTTCGTTGGCCCAGTGGTTAGAGTTGCCTAATTCGGCCCCATTCACCGGAGTCCGAATCCCCCAATGCCCATTTTTTTGCAAAAAAGGCCCAAAACCCGGGTTGACCCGACTGGTCCTCGGGCCCCCCGCCGGGTAGACCCGTCGGGTCTCGGGTCCAAAATATCTGGACCCGAAACCGACCCGTGCTTGGGCGGGTCTGGGTCCGTGGTCAACGGGGCGGGTCCTGGTCAAACCCGGCCCATGGCCATGTCTATATAGCACTATAAAGACCTCTCAATGGCCATGAGTTACAGATCTCTCACAGGTCATGAGTTACAAGACCTTTAATGGAGTCATCAGGAATTCATCAAGCTACCCCTGATTTAGGCAATAAACATTGAAGTTATATCACATTCATAAACATTGAAGTTATATCACATTCTGAATAGAGGTTTTTATGAATAAGTCACTGACCAACTGATAAGTGTTCGTTTTGCACGATTTTTGCTTATCAAATCTTCGAGTTTTGGTCTTCGTTCGTCCGAGTTTCGGCTTTATTTGTATATATTATTGCGTTTCTTGTTTTATTTCCTATTTTTAGGTTTTGTTAGCTTTTGTTGCCAAGTCGAAGCCATTTGGAAGCGAAACCGATTTTTGAAGCCGAGAAAGTGGTCATTAAGACCCAGATCGCGATCCAGGAAAGCCGGATCGCGATCTGGATGCAAATTCCAGAAGCAAACAATATTCAGACCCAGATCGCGATCCGCACTTCCTGGATCGCGATCTGGGAGGCGGTTCACGTTTTTTTTTGAGAAGCCAGATCGCGATCTGACTTTATTGGATCGCGATCTGGCACGATTTTCAAGGGCAGATATTTTAAAAAGCAAAGCTTCTTGAGGAAGCTTTGCAATTTACTATAAATAGAAGCAAGCCCTCACTCTTCGTCCTGCTTCGACTTTTTACGGTTTTCGACGGTTCTTCGCGGGAATCATCAACGGGGGTTCCGACTTGGGTTTTTCTTACGCAATTTCTTTACGTTTTGTTCTTCATTTCCTTTGTACATTCTTTTGATACTATGTTTGTTATGAACTAAGAACATTTTCTTCTAGGGCAATGTAGCCTTGTATATATTGATTTCGATCGTCATTTCTGTTATCTATTTGTCGTGTTTTGATTTCGTTTATGTTTTCCTGTATTAAATGCTTCTGATTGTGTTGATCAGCTCTCAGATTGATATTAAATAGGAATGAACTCGAGAGAGGATTTCTTGTTTGAAGTTAGGAAAATATAGCTCGGGGTGTGGAAACGGAGACGTGATGCACTTCGGGTAGCCCTTAAGGACTTGGCCTAAATGCTCTCTTAATAGCAGGTTCTGAACGGAGACGTCGGACCTGTGGGTAGACTCTAACTACACTAGAGACGGGGGTTAGAGTACATTAGCGTCTGGGTTAACGAATAGGAGCGTGAATTTAGATAGCGGATTTGTCGATCGTTGTTGATTATACCTAGGTGGACTTGGCCCTAGAAGTCCCCTTTAAATCGAAGTCCCCCGCGTTGAGTTGTCGTTACTTTATTTACGTACATTCTATATTTGCATGTTTACGATCTTGCATGCTTTTAAATTAGGGTTTCTCACCAATCCACTTATTTACGATCGGCTAGATAATATAACGATAATATAATTACACTACTCAGCATTTGAATCTACAAGGTCCCTGTGGATCGATATCCGGAACCACTGTTCTGCAAAATGCGATACCGTATACTTGCGGTAATTTATACGTGAGGAAAACGCGTATCAAGTTTTTGGCGCCGTTGCCGGGGACCAATTTGATTTTATCTTTGTTTATAGTGTTACCAATTATCTGATTATTACTTTAGCCATTTACTTGTTTTATTTTCGATTTTTACCTTGATTTTAACCACTCACTTTGTTTATGCCCAGGCGTCGAAATTTGGAAATCATACCTTACGATCCCGAGATTGAAAGGACATTACGTAGACTAAGGGCCACGCGCAACCAACAAAGTGAACCAATGGCCGAAGATCAAGGAAATCCAGAGCACCTGGCCTTTGAGTACGATCGAGAGCCAGGACGAGATCACGAGCAGCCAGGACCGAACCTGCCACCCGAGCGAACAATGCGAGAATACCGAACTCCAGCTGTGAATGAGAACTATTCGGGAATCAGGAAACCGACCATAGCCGCAAACAACTTCGAGCTGAAGACGGGACTAATCAACATGGTCATGGCAAACCAATTCTCCGGAGCAGCCACTGCAGATCCGAATCTCCATCTTGCCAATTTCTTGGAGATTTGTGACACGATCAAAGTTAACGGCGTTTCTGATGATGCCATTCGGTTGAAGCTATTCTCATTTTCTGTCAGAGATAAAGCGAAGAGTTGGCTTCTGAGTCTTAATCCAGGATCACTCACCTGTTGGGAAGAATTATCACAAGCCTTTCTGGCACGATTCTTTCCACCCTCGAAGACCGCACAACTACGAAGAGATGTAGGCAACTTCAGACAGATGAGCCAAGAGCCGATGCACGAGTCTTGGGAGAGATTCAAGGACCTATTACGACAATGCCCTCAACACGGATTCAACCCGTGGGATCAAATGGAGTTATTCTACAATGGGCTCGATCAACCAGCCCGATCTTTAGTCGATGCTGCCTCAGGTGGATCATTGCAAAACAAGACTCCCACAGACGCTCGAGACATTGTCGAGCGAATGTGTGAGAATGCTTACCATTGGCCGTCCGAACGGAGTGGTGTACAAAAGGTGGCCGGAGTCCACCAACTCGATCCTTTAGCCGCAGTTTCAGCACAATTAGCGATCCTATCAAATCAGGTCGCCCAAATTTCAGTTCGAGGGCCACAGATCGAACGAGTAGCAACAGCAAGTACATCACAAGCCACAAACGACGATTGGGAGCAGGCACACTTTATGAACCACCGATTCAACAATTTCCGGGGAACCCACAATCAGAACCAAAACCCTACTCATTATCACCCGGGAATTCGGAATCACGAGAATTTCTCCTATGCCAATCCAAAGAATGCTCTACAACCACCTCCCGATCTCAACCATCAAAGAGAGCAACGAGGGCCAACGTACGACGAGCGTCTTCACCGACAAGAACATGAAATGGAGGGCCTGAAATCAACAATGAAGAACATGGAAAAGCAAATAGGGCAAATCGCCCAATCCATGTCCACAATGGCCAAGGGTGGATTTCCGAGCAATACCGAAGTCAATCCAAAGGAAAGCTGTCAAGCCATAACCACCCGAAGTGGTTTGCAAATGACTGATCCTCCTTATCCGACAGACGAATCACCAAGGCCAGCTGTACAACCGACCCCGGTCGAGCCGGAAATCACCATTTCAGGAAGTAGTACAAAAGAGGCTAGTAAGCCCAATAACATTTCTTTTCCTGATAATCCCCCTCTTATGGTAACTCCTATTCCTTTTCCAGAAAGACAGAAGAAGAAGAAGTTCAAGGATCAATTGAAGAAGTTCATTGAAAAGATCAAGCAGATTCGAATCAACATCCCTTTTGCAGAAGCCTTGGAGGTAATGCCAAACTACACCAAGTTCATGAAGGAAGTCCTATCCAAGAAAATTCGGATCGAAGAAGACATACCAGTGACACTCACGGCAACTTGCAGTGCCATTCTTCAGTCGAATCTACCACCGAAAATGAAAGATCCAGGGAGTTACACTATTCCTTGTATTATTGGCAATTCTACTTTCGATAAAGCTTTATGTGATTTGGGGGCAAGTATTAATTTGATGCCTATGTCTGTGTTTCTAAAACTGGGCTTAGGAAATTTGAACCGCACTCGCATGACTTTACAGCTAGCTGATCGTTCATTGAAATATCCCGATGGGATTGTAGAAGATGTGCTAGTTAAAGTAGATAAATTCATTTTGCCTGTTGATTTTGTGGTACTTAAAATGCCTGAAGATGATGAAGCACCAATCATTTTAGGTCGTCCATTCTTAGCCACTGGTAAGGCGATGATTGATATGGAATTAGGATCTTTAATGCTTAGGGTAAATGGGGAAGAAGTTGTTTTTAATTTGACAGATGCATTTAAACACTCTGAGCATGTTGAGCATTGCAGTAGAATAGACGTGATCGAGGACTGTGTCTCCTCCTTTTTTGATTTGTATGAATTATGTGATTCTGTTGAGCACTGCATTGTTAACTCTATTGATTTGCATTCTGCCTCCCCTGAAACCCCTATTGAAAATGATGTGCTTGATTGTGTGTTGTTTCTTGAGTGTGCCGAGATTTTAGGCTTAGACGAGGTAGGGATCGTCCCCGAGATACCAGTTAGTGTGAAAACGGCCCCCGTACTGGAATTGAAGCAATTACCGGATTATCTTTGTTATGCTTTTCTTGGAGCAGACAAGACCTATCCGGTGATTATTTCTTCTAGTTTGAGCGAGGCCGAAACAAACACACTGCTGGAAGTCCTTAGAGAATATAGGTCAGCTATAGGTTGGTCTATTGAGGATATTAAGGGAATTAGCCCATCAATTGTTCAACACAAAATTCTAATGGAAGACATCTATAAACCGAGAGTCCAACCTCAGAGGCGGTTAAACCCGTCAATGAAAGAGGTAGTAAAAAAAGAAGTCTTGAAATTGTTAGGCGCTGGTATGATTTATGCAATTTCTGACAGTCCGTGGGTCAGTCCGGTGCAGGTTGTGCCAAAAAGGGGTGGGATGACGGTTATTGTGAATGACAAAAATGAACTTATTCCGTCTAGAACAGTCACTGGGTGGCGTGTGTGTTTCGATTACAGATTATTGAATGCAGCCACTAGAAAAGACCATTTCCCCCTTCCCTTTATCGATCAAATGCTAGACAGGCTAGGAGGTTTCGAGTATTACTGTTTTCTTGATGGTTATTCGGGGTACAATCAAATTTCAATCGCCCCGGAAGACCAAGAGAAAACTACTTTTACTTGCCCCTACGGTACTTTTGCATTTCGTAGGATGCCTTTCGGTTTGTGTAATGCGCCTGCTACCTTTCAACGTTGTATGATGTCTATATTTCACGATATGGTAGAAGAGTTTCTTGAGGTGTTTATGGATGATTTTTCTGTGTTTGGATCGTCTTTCGATCATTGTGTGCACAATCTAGAACTTGTTTTGAAAAGATGTACAGAAACGAACCTTGTTTTAAATTGGGAAAAATGTCATTTTATGGTTCGTGAAGGTATTGTTCTAGGTCACAAGGTATCGAAAAAGGGTCTTGAGGTGGATAGGGCAAAAATCGAAACGATTGAAAAATTGCCTCCACCGAAGGATGTCAAGGGGGTTAGAAGTTTTTTAGGGCATGCTGGGTTTTACCGTAGATTCATTAAAGATTTTTCGAAAATAGTAAAACCCTTGTGTCATTTGCTTGAGAAGGAAGCCGTCTTTGATTTTGATTCCGCTTGTTTGCAGGCTTTCACGTTTCTCAAGGAGAAGCTAACCCAATCACCGATTATGATTACTCCCAATTGGGAGGAACCATTCGAGATCATGTGCGATGCGAGCGACTATGCTGTAGGTGCAGTATTGGGACAAAGGAGGGATAAAATCTTCAAAGCCATCTACTATTCGAGTCGTACACTTGACCAGGCACAGAAGAACTATTCAACGACCGAAAAGGAAATGCTTGTTGTCGTTTATGCTGTTGACAAGTTCAGACCGTATATTTTGGGGTCTCAGGTGATCATTTACACCGACCACGCAGCTATTCGATACTTGTTCGCAAAGAAGGACGCCAAGCCCAGACTCATCAGATGGGTGCTCCTACTCCAGGAGTTCGACTTGGAAATCAGAGACAAAAAGGGGAGCGAGAATGTGGTAGCAGATCATCTTTCCAGACTCATACTAGAAGAAGTTCCAGCCGAAGGAAATATTCAGGAGTCCTTCCCAGACGAGCAACTGCTCGCCATTAGTACTCACACTCCGTGGTATGCTGATGTGGCCAACTTCTTGGCCAGTGGAATCATTCCCGACGATCTTTCTTATCATCAAAAGAAAAAATTCCTTCACGACAGCCGTTTCTATCTTTGGGACGAGCCATTGCTTTTTAGAACCGGCCCCGATCGTGTCATCCGAAGATGTGTTCCGGAAACTGAAGTACGTGAGATTCTCACACATTGCCACTCTTCACCTTGTGGCGGGCATCATGGGGAATCTCGCACAGCCGCCAAGGTTCTGCAGTCAGGCTTCTTTTGGCCAACCCTATTCAGAGATAGTTACGAGTTCGTGAAACGGTGTGATCGATGCCAACGAACAGGGAACCTTTCCAACAAAAGCCAAATGCCTTTGAACAACATGCAAGAGGTGGAGCTTTTCGATGTTTGGGGCATAGACTTCATGGGACCATTCCCATCTTCGAACGGGAAGTTATACATTTTGCTTGCCGTGGACTACGTGTCCAAATGGGTCGAAGCGATTGCCACCACTACCAACGATGCTCGTACGGTCCTCAAATTCTTCCACAAGAACATATTCTCAAGGTTTGGGACACCTAGGGCGATCATTAGCGATGAAGGATCTCACTTCTGCAACAAACTGCTCACTAATCTCACGAACAAGTTGGGGATCCGACACAAAATAGCGCTTGCCTATCATCCGCAAACAAATGGCCTTGCTGAGTTGTCAAACCGAGAAATCAAACAGATTCTGGAGAAGACCGTGTGCACGAACCGAAAAGATTGGGCATTGAAGCTCGATGATGCACTTTGGGCCTATCGAACCGCATTCAAGACACCGATTGGGATGTCTCCGTACAAACTCGTGTTTGGAAAAGCGTGTCACCTGCCAGTGGAATTGGAGCACCGAGCTTATTGGGCAGTCAAAAAGCTCAATTTCGATCAAACAGCTACCGACGATCGTCGATTGCTTCAACTCAACGAAATGGAGGAGTTCAGAAATGATGCTTACGAGAATGCCAAGATTTACAAAGAAAAGACGAAAAAGTGGCATGACAAAAGAATTACAAAGCGAGAGTTTCGGGCAGGTGACCAAGTCTTGCTATTCAATTCTCGACTACGACTATTTCCGGGAAAGCTAAAGTCCCGTTGGTCAGGGCCATTCGTAGTCCTGAGCGCAACCCCACAAGGAGTTATTGAAATCCGAGGACGAGACGGCCCATCATTCAAAGTCAATGGGCAACGAGTCAAGCATTACTACCCAAATGGTGCTCCCGAGGAAGTGGAGCGTGTTGCACTGATTTTCTCCCAATAAATCCAAACTAAGTCGAGCCGTCGACTGTAAAACAGGCGCTAAATGGGAGGCACCCCATTGTTACTCGTATTTCTGTCATATGCTTTTCTCGTACTTCTGTCACTTCACCTCTTTATCTTTCTAATTTTGGCTGGTAAAAGGTACCATATCGCGATATGTGTTTCCAGATCGCGATATGGTAGGATGGGAAACAGAGAGTCTGCAATTCTGCCATATCGGGCGATATGGGTGTCCATATCGCGATATGGGGCACTCTTTCCAGAACTCCCAGGTAAGGCCATATCGCGATATGGCCGACTGTATCGCGATATGGGTGTCGGTTTTTGCAGATTATAAGGCAGAAAACATAATTCAAATTCATTCCCCTCTTTCAAAATCACAAATATTACTCCTAAAATTTTGATTTTGATCCCAAAATTTCACAACTCTTTCACAAATTCTTACACCCATTCACTATAACACGCATTGTTGCACTTTTGGGGTTGATTATTGAATGAAATTTCCAAACAAGGTATGAGTACCCTAAAAAAAAAAAAAAAAAAAAAAATTCGAATTTCTTCAAATTTCTTCAAATTTCTTGTTCCTTCTCCCTTGATTCTTGTTGGGTATTGCAAATGTTCATTTTTTATGAGTCTTGGGGTTTGAAGCATGAGTTTTTGGTTGAACCAATGTCTAGATTTAGGAATTACCCTAACATGCTTTATTTTGAATTTCTTGTCAAATTTGCTTGGGTTAAATGTTGAATTTATGTTTATGATTGTGAATGATGGATTTTAATTCTTTTGTTTGATTGTTCATTGTTGTAGGAGTCAGGTACCTAGCAAAAAGGAGCATTCAATAGTGTACCGAAACACCGCACACCAAGTGTTCGGTGAATTGCCCGAAAGAAGATTTCAAGCTAATTTACCACCCTATCCAATCAAACCCTTGCAATATGGCTCCGAACAAGAAAAAGCCTCGAACCACGGCTTCGTCAAAAGTGCCAGAGAAAATTGGGGCCCGAGCCAACCAAAGGAACGCATCGTCGGCACCAATCGAAGATGATGAATTTCAGACACACACATTCGTCAGTCCACAAGCCGCCAAGGATTTTCAAGACCGAGCGAAGTCGATCATCCGGGAGCGAGAACTTCTTCTTGACGAGGAACGGAACCCGGAAATTTTTGACAATGTCATGAAACGAGGTTGGAAATCGTTCATTGAGGATCCGGGGGAGGCAAATGTCAGCATGGTCCGAGAGTTCTTTGCCAATGCAGCTCATTCCGATAACAACACATCTGTCAAGGTTCGAGATGTTGTAGTTCGATTTGATCCTGCCCATATCAACAACTACTTCAATTTGCCCGACTTATCGCTGGAAGGCTACAACACGGTGAAAAAGAAAACCATTTACGATGATTTGATCAGCACTTTGTGCCCGAGAGGGACATCCTGGGAAGGGAAGAAGAAAAGTTTCAATCGTTCAGAATTGTCTAAGGAAGCAAAGGCGTGGGCTTACTTTGTCTCGGCCCGCCTTATGCCCACATCGGCGGTGAGTACAGTCCTTCCCCCCCGGTTGGTTCTTATCTATGCTATCATCATAGGGATCGACATCAATGTAGGGAATATAATTTACGAAGAGATGCGGCGGTGCATCAGCGACCTTTCACTTAGTCCGATGTTCCCATCACTGATTACCGGACTTTGTAAGTGGGCAGGAGTTCCGACCCGGGAGAACGACGAGACAATGAAACCCCAACTGCCTATCAAAGATGTTTTTTCGTACAAGGACGCTGTTGGGCCGGACGATCCAGGTATGGGAGGCGATGACGACGAGGGAGATGCCCAGAATGCTCCAGCTCCACGGCGACCTGCTCAACCGCGCCAAAAAGGAAAGCAACCAGTTCAAGAGATTGGCGACGGGGACCGAGAGTGGAAGGAGGCAGTCGAAACACACCTGACATTCATCGGGAAAATGTTGCGAGCACTTACCAGCAAAATGGGGTGCGACACCACAGATATCGCAGAACCTCTCCCTTTCCCACGACATGCTGCAGCTGTGGATAGGCCCGAGAGCTCTCGGGCGAGACGAGTCATAGAGAGCGACGACGAGGAGGACCTAAACAACTAAGGGACGTTGTGTATTCTTTCCCTTTTATTTATTATTCTGCTTCTGAGCATAGGGACTATGCTAAAATTTGAGTTTGAGGGTGGTGTATGTTGAACCTCTTTGTTTTTGTTTTGTGTTTATTTCGTTCGTTTTGGATAAGTCGTTGGATTGATATTTCGTTTACGATGTATCTTTGCTAGACTTTGTTTTTATTTTTTATTTTATTTTATTTATCTTATTTTGGTTTGGTCTTTTGCATGCATATCATATAATTTCGTTTCGTTTATGTATTTCGATTTCCGTAATTGTGTTATGTTTGTCACATGCATTTCATTTAGGATCGAGTGTAATTTGCATTTCCGGGTTCTATTGAAGCAAAGCAATTAATGAATTAGTAGATGGGCTAGTTGATTTTAAAATTGAAATTATGGATAACCGGCTAATTATAGATGTACCTTCCGACTGCGTTTTTGCAACTTGTGTGGATAGCCTTTCGAATCCTTTCCGATTAAGTTTGAGCGCACTTTTCTGAGGGGTATAATAGTCTAAGGTTTGGGGGGTGAGTTAGAATTGAGTTATGTGTTCACGATTTCCAGTTGTTGGCTAAAAGTTCTTTCAATGGTCTTAACGTTTTTATTTTATGTTCGATGTAAAAAAAAAAAAAAAAAAAAAACAAAAACAAAAAAAAAAAAAAAAAAAAAAAGAAAAATAATAATTTGTGGTATCGTTGTGATTCACGCTCTGATTTCCCCGCCTTTCTGACTCGAGCTTAACCCGTAGGGTGCACCTCGTCGCCTAAGTCTCTCGAGCTGTCGAGCTTGGGGGTTTCTTGGACTAAAGTTCGATACATGGGTCAGGGAGATAACACAGTGGTGTCGAGCTTTGCACGAGTCACAATTATGCCCGTTTCAAAAAAAAAATAAAGAAAAAAAAAATAAAAAATTGTGATGAAAATCACCAAAAATATTGTTGTTGTCATTTCTTATATTGAATAAATAGACCTACTTATGCCCAACTCGAGTTTTTGAATTTCAGAATCAAAACTTGCTTTTCACCCACACTTCTACTCAAAACCCTCGATAATTGTGTTTATTGTTTAATTACGGATTCTTGAGTCTATCTTTCATTTTGGTGTAGAAACAACTAATTGCGTCGGTAGGAAAGTCGAATACCTTAAGCCGTATGCCATTCTAAAATTTTAAGTTATCTAGCTCGTTTTATCTTTCGAATTAATTGAAATGCTTTGACCAATCCGGCAACTTTGTGGGTGTGTTGTCTGAAAACCCTCACGAGACACAACTCGTCCTTTGGGGGTACCCAGGGGTTCAATGGCTTGTTGCATACGCTAAATGCAATCGTGTTTCCCTACGTTAGTGGCCTAGTTTTAGTTGGTGTTTTTATTTTCTTTTTGTTGTACTTTCGTTTTGATTTACTCGGGACGAGTAAAGATCTAAGTTTGAGGGTGTGATAAGTATTCGTTTTGCACGATTTTTGCTTATCGAATCTTCGAGTTTTGGTCTTCATTCGTCCGAGTTTCGGCGTTATTTGTATATATTATTGCGTTTCTTGTTTTATTTCTATTTATAGGTTTTGTTAGATATTGTTGCCGATTCGAAACGATTTTGAAAGCGAAGCCGAGAATCAAGTCAAACAAGAGCAAAAATTGCAATCAAGTGGATGGTGGCAGCCTTCGGTATTTTACGCATAACTTCTTCATACGACCTCCGATTGAGCTGATTCAAGTGGATTTAGAAAGCCAACTGCAAGGGCTACAACTTTTGTGAAATGCAAAATTGTCAAATTCGGGCTACAAAAGGGTCAAAACAGAGTTTGAAGTTATTGCAGTGACCATATCGCGATATTACCTACCATATCGCGATATGGGAGAAAATGAAACAGAGAGCTTGCATTTTTGCCATATCGCGCGATATGCCATTCCATATCGCGATATGGGGAGAAACGAAACAGAGAGCTTGCAATTTTACCATATCGCCCGATATGACTACGCATATCGCGATATGGGCCTCGGGATGTGTAAAAAATATCTAAAAAGGCAAAGCTTCCTCAAGAAGCTTTGCCTTACTATAAATAGAAGTCAGCCCTCATTCTTCTGGACTTCTTCGACTTTTTACGGTTTTCGACGGTTCTTCGCGGGAATCATCAACGGGGGTTTCGACTTGGGTTTTTCTTACGCAATTTCTTTACGTTTTGTTCTTCATTTCCTTAGTACATTCTTTTGATACTATGTTTGTTATGAACTAAGAACATTTTCTTCTAGGGCAATGAAGCCTTGTATATATTGATTTCGATCGTCATTTCTGTTATCTATTTGTCGTGTTTTGATTTCGTTTATGTTTTCCTGTATTAAATGCTTCTGATTGTGTTGATCAGCTCTCAGATTGATATTAAATAGGAATGAACTCGAGAGAGGATTTCTTGTTTGAAGTTAGGAAAATATAGCTCGGGGTGTCGAAACGGAGACGTGATGCACTTCGGGTAGCCCTTAAGGACTTGGCCTAAATGCTCTTTTAATAGCAGGTTCTGAACGGAGACGTCGGACCTGTGGGTAGACTCTAACTACACTGGAGACGGGGGTTAGAGTACTTTAGCGTCTGGGTTAACGAATAGGAATGTGGCGTTAGATAACGGAGTTGTAGATCGTTGTTGATTATACATAGGTGGATTTGGCCCTAGAAGTCCCCTTTAAATCGAAGTCCCCCCGCGTTGAGTTGTCGTACTTTATTTACGTACATTCCATATTTGCATGTTTACCATCTTGCATGCTTTTAAATTAGGGTTTATCACCAATCCACTTATTTACGATCGGCTAGATAATATAACGATAATATAATTACACTACTCAGCATTTGAATATACAAGGTCCCTGTGGATCGATATCCGGAACCACTGTTCTGCAAAATGCGATACCGTATACTTGCGGTAATTTATACGTGAGGAAAACGCGTATCAGATACGGACATAAGTAAGTGTACAAAAGCATGCACAAAAGTACTC